ATGATAAAAATTCTGAACAAACTGAGCATAGGAGGAGCATTCCTCAAAACAACAGGTCGTATATGACAAAGCCACAACTAATATCATACTGAACAAAAAAGAAAATATGAAAACCTTTCTACTAAGACCTGGAATAAGACAAAGATGCTAGCTTTCATCACTTTATTTAACATAGTTCTGGAAATCCAAGCTAGAGCAATTAGGCAACAGAAAGCAATAGAGGTATACAAATTGGAAAGAAAGAAGTTGAATTGGCCGGGCGCGGTGGCTCAAGCCTGTAATCCCAGCACTTTGGGAGGCCGAGGCGGGTGGATCACGAGGTCAAGAGATCGAGACCATCCTGGTCAACATGGTGAAACCCCGTCTCTACTAAAAATACAAAAAATTAGCTGGGCATGGTGGCGTGTGCCTGTAATCCCAGCTACTCAGGAGGTTGAGGCAGGAGAATTGCCTGAACCCAGGAGGCGGAGGTTGCGGTGAGCCGAGATCGCGCCATTGCACTCCAGCCTGGGTAACAAGAGCAAAACTCCGTCTCAAAAAAAAAAAAAAAAAAAAAAGAAGTTGAATTATTCCTGTTTGCAGACAAGACATAATCTTATATTCAGAAAATCCTAAAGATGCCAACAAAAACTCATACAACTGATAAATTCAGTAAAGTTTCAGAATCCATTATCAACATGCAAAAATCAGTAGTGTTTCTGTTCACTAATAGCAATCAACCTGAAAACAAAATCAAGAAAGAAATCCCATTTACAATAGCTACAAAAAAAAAAAAAAATCTAGGAATAAATTTAACCAAAGAAATGAAAGATTTCCACAAGGAAAACTGTAAAACACTTATAAAAGAAACTGAAGAACACACAAAAATGAAAAATATATCTTATGCTTATGGATTAGAAGAATTAATATTGTAAAAATTTCCACACTACCCAATGCAATCTACAGATTCAATGTAACCCCTATCAAAATGCCAATGACGTTATTCACAGAGTTAGAAAAAACAATCCTGAACTCTGTATGGAAATTTAAAAGACCCTAAGTGGCTAAAGTAATCCTGACCCAAGAAACAAAGCTGGAGGCATTGTACTACCTAACTTCACATTATGCTACAAAACCTATAGTAATCAAAACATCATAGGACTGGCGTAATAACAGATGTGTAGACCAGTGAAACAGAATACATAAATTCATACATTTACAGCCAACTCTTTTTTAACAAAAGCCCAAAGAACATACACTGAGCAAAGGACAGTCCCTTTAATAAATGGTACTGGGAAAACTGTATGTCCATATGCAGAAAAATTAAGCTAGATCCTATCTTTCACCATATCAAAAATAGTTTAAAAGCGATAAAGACTTAAATGTAAGGCCTAAAACTATGAAACTACTAGTAAACCACTTTGAGGAAACATTACAGATTTTTTTGGATAAGACCTCAAAAGCCCAGGTAACAACAGCAAAAAATAGACAAATGATTACATAAAGCTGAAAATCTTCTCCACAGCAAAAGAAACAATCAACAATGTGAAGAGATGGCTTACAGAATGGGAGAGAATATTTGCAAGCCACCTATCTGACAAAGAATTGATATGTAGAGTATATATATAATGTGCTCAAATAACTCAATATCAGTAAAACCAAATAATCCCATTTAAAAATGGTCAAAGGATCTGAACAGACATTTCTCAAAAGAAGACATACAAATAGTCAATGAGTTAAAAAAAAAAAATCAACACCGCTAATAATCAGGGACATACAAATCAAAATCACAATGAGATACTCTAACACCCAGTTAACATGGCTATGATCAAAAGGACAAAAAATACAAAAAGAAAATAAAAATAATAGGTGAGTGAGAGGGGGAGAAAGGAGAATGCTCTCATACACTCTTGGTACAAATTTAAAGTAGTATAGCCACTTGGAAGAACAGTATGGAGGTCCTCAAAAAACTAAAAGTAGAACTGCTATATGATTCAGCAATTTTACTGCTGGGTGTATGTCCCCAAAAAAGGAAACCAGTACATTGAAGAGATATCTGCATGCTCATGTTTATTGTAGCACTAGTCACAATAGCTAAGATACGGAATCAGCCTTCATGTCTATCAATGGATAAATGGATACAGAAAATGTGATATATATACCAAATCGAAGACTATTCTGCTGTAAAAAAGAATGCAATTCTGTCATTTGCAGCAACATGGATAGAACTGGAAATCATTATGTTAAATAAAATTAGTCAGGCACGGGAAGACACATACTGCATATTTTTGCTCGTACGTGGGAGCTAAACAAGTAGATTTCATGTAAGTAGAGATGAGAAGAATGGTTACCAGCGATAGGGTAGAGAGGAGTGGTGATGAAGAGAAGTTGGTTAATAGGTACAAAATCACAGTTAGAAAGAAGAAATAAATTCTAGTATTCAGTAGTATAGTAGGGAGATTAATGGTTAAACATTTATTGTATTTTTCAAAATAGCTAGAAGAGAAGGATTGCAATGTTCCCAACAGGAAGGAAAGAGATGGTAGATATCCCAGTTACCCTGATTTGATCATTATACATTATATACATGTATCAAAGTATCACATGTACCTCAAAGATATATACAATTGTTATACATCAATTAAAAACAAGTAAAAAAACCTAATAGATTCTTTAAAATATGTAACCAAACTAATAAAGACAAAGCAAAGTATTCATTTATATATTGTTTTGGAGAAGCAGTAATTTATGAATCTAAATATAGCCTCTGATAACTACCACCTAGACATGAAATTTTACAATTAAAAATTAATTTTTATTTTCTTTTTAAAGAAATAATATTTAGCATTTAATACCGATTATAGATTTTATGGCCTGCATGTTTTACAAAAGTAGGCCTCAGTAAATAATTACAAAATGCTTTTGAATCATTTCCATTCCTTAAGAAATATTGCATAACCTAAATAAGGAATGCTACACTTCAATAGGCATAATATTTTAATTTTGTGGTTTTACAAAACTGTGTTCTGGCAGTTTATAAATTATATGAGCATATGCAAATTCAACTGGCATGAATTATTCAAGAACAAATAACTGTCCATAAATATGAGTGGAGAAAAAAATGAAATATAACCTGTCTCCCTCGCTCTCTAAGATAGTATAGTAAATGTGAAAAAAATGGGGAAATATTATTGATTTATTTCAACTAGCAATCCAGTAAACAATAAAAATAAGCATTAACAAACAATTGAGGAAAAATAATTCAGATCTTCATTTATGTTTAAAGTAGAACCATAAAGTGTCTTAGTCCATTCTGATTACTATAACAAAATACCACAAACTGGGTGGCTTGGAAACAACAAACATTTATTTCTCACAGTTCTGGAGGCTGGGAAGTCCAAGATCAAAGTGCTGGCAAAGTCATGGTCTGGTGAGGGCCTGCTCTGGTTCACAGATGGCATTGTCTAGCTTTGTCCTAATGTGGTTGAAGGGGCAAGGAAGCTTTCTGGGGCCCCTTCCGTATTGGCACTGATCCCATTCACAAGGGCTCCACCATCTAACTACTAATTACACCCCCCACAAAGCCCTCACCTCCCAACACCAGTACATTGGTGATTAAATTACAACATATGGATTTTGGCGGCATACAAACACTTAGACTCTAACATGGAGTAAGCAAATTTGTTTCCCAAAATGATTGAAATAATATCAGAGCAAGTCACTGATTCCAATCATCTGAAGCCTAAAATGAGAGCAGGGTAGAGACATATTTCCATTATGTAATGACTGGAGAGTTGACTGAAATTGAGTTTCTTTTGTCCAGCACAGCTCCTGGACATTAGAATAGTGCTTTTTACAAGGGCTTTATCACCACTTCCTTGCCCAAGGCATTTCAGATGGGTAGCTTCACTACAGGACTACATTTAGAAGCATTTGACATCTGGTTTCTACACTCCTCTAACTAGTTTTCCAACTTCCAGTTTCCAATAATTTTCACTTACACCCTTTTGCCTCCTTATAAATATAAAGATTATTTTTCTACCTTTTTTTCTACCATATTAAGATGGACAGATTCTTAGAATTAGAGAGGAGCATAATCACCTGTTAGAATAAAGCCCAAATCCATTAGCGATTTAAAACAAGTATTTATTCTTCCTTAAAGATAGAGAGAACCTTGTTTTGAGAAAATTGATTCCCATGCTTAGCTCAAGTCCTTACAGGAAAAAAAAAAAAAAATAGATGCTTCATTTTATCAAAGTTGAGACTGAATGGCTCCTTCTAGTGGAATACAAGGAAAACTGGAAATTTTATATGGAAAATACATGTTGAAGTTTTGTATATTATTAGGAGAAAGTCTGAATTTATTCAATTTACTTTAAAATTGTTGCTTCATTCTTCTTTTTCTTTTTTCTCTTTTTCCTTTCTATTGCATATTTTCATGAAGTGTGTCCACAAAGCAGTTTAGAAAGATTATTGAGATTCCAGGTGAAAATGAAAAATACAATTAAAAAAGAGCATCTACTGATATCCTCTTTCCTTCAAAAACCTGAAAAAGCTGAGTTTTTGAAAGGCCATTATAAAACGTCCAAATGCTCATTAAAGTATAACGGCAGTAAACAAAAGCTGAAAGAATACTGGAATTGAAATATTGTTCTACTTTTATGACTTAGGTCTCTCAGTTTCTTTAATTCTCGGCTTCTCCATTTGAAAATCAAATAAGTATACTAGAAGAGCATATAGTGCTAACAATCTATGAGCCTACCCCATTCCCAGCTTATTCTGATCCTTAATCATTATTATAGTCTGACAATATATAAAATCCCTCCTATTTATTGACTCTAGACAATAAAACATTGCACTAATGAGATTCACGCCTGATCCCTTTACCCAGCCAATTACACACATGCTTACACTTGGACAGATTTTCTTAATGTCAGATAATCTCACACTAGGTATTTCATAGCAACGATGAAACAAGAAGTGGCCTTCATATATACACAAATAAAAATGAACTTGCGGCCAGTCCGGCCCCGTCCCGCCGCGCGCGCCAGCATGAGCTCCACGCAGTTCAACAAGGGCCCCGCGTACGGGCTGTCGGTCGAGGTCAAGAACCGGCTCCTGTCCAAGTATGACCCGCAGAAGGAGGCAGAGCTCCGAAGCTGGATCGAGGGGCTCACCGGCCTCTCCATTGGCCCCGACTTCCAGAAGGGCCTGAAGGACGGGATCATCTTATGCACACTCATGAACAAGCTACAGCCAGGCTCAGTCCCCAAGATCAACCGCTCCATGCAGAACTGGCACCAGCTGGAAAACCTTTCCAACTTCATCAAGGCCATGGTCAGCTACGGCATGAACCCCGTGGACCTGTTCGAGGCCAACGACCTCTTTGAGAGCGGGAACCTGACGCAGGTGCAGATGTCTCTTCTCGCCCTGGCTGGGAAGGCCAAGACTAAGGGGCTGCAGAGCGGGGTGGACATCTGCGTCAAGTACTCGGAGAAGCAGGAGCGGAACTTCGATGATGCCACCATGAAGGCCGGCCAGTGCGTCATCGGGCTGCAGATGGGCACCAACAAATGTGCCAGCCAGTCAGGCATGACCGCGTACGGCACGAGGAGGCATCTCTACGACCCCAAGAACCACATCCTGCCCCCCATGGAACACTCCACCATCAGCCTCCAGATGGGCACCAACAAGTGTGCCAGCCAGGTGGGCATGACGGCTCCCGGGACGCGGCGGCACATCTATGACACCAAACTGGGAACCGACAAGTGTGATGACTCCTCCGTGTCCCTGCAGATGGGCTACACGCAGGGCGCCAACCAGAGCGGCCAGGTCTTCGGTCTGGGCCGGCAGATATACGACCCCAAGTACTGCCCGCAAGGCACCGTGGCCGACGGGGCTCCCTCCGATGCTGGCGACTGCCCGGGTCCCGGGGAGGCCCCTGAATATCCCCCTGACTACCAGGAGGAGGCGGGCTACTGAGGCTCCCAGCGCGCTCTCTCCCCACGCCGTCTGCCCGTCTGGGTTTCTGGGTTTTTCTGTGTTTTCATCTTTTTTTTATTAACCTGTTCAGTGCTGCCAATCAGCTGAGGGTCTGTGAGTGGCTTTCTCCCCCTTGCCTTGGTCCTTTGCAGGACTGAGCCACCAGGCTGGGGGGGGGGAGGGGTCAAGGCCGTATCCTGATGCCTGTAGGGTCAGGGTCCCTGCTGCCCATCCAGGCTGTGGGCCGGGCTGTGCTGGGGAGAAGAGGCCTGGGCTTGGAGGGAACGGGTCCCTGAAGACTTCCGGTTGCCTCGTCTCTTCTCATTTTGTCACCCGATCAGTTTGTGGTTTCTGTACCCACAAAAGTTTCAGGAAGTAGTAACAAAAGAAAAATACTTCCCCCCCGACAAGGAATGGGGCGGGGACAGTGGAGATGGTGCTGGGCAATGAGTCCCCTGGAAAGGGGGCCTGGCCACGATGCTGAGTGTCTCAGGCTCCCAAGTGGCTGGGTTTCCCTCCGACCCTCAGACCTGCCCCGGGGCCTGGTGGGGAAAGCGAGGCCTGCACAAGGAAGCGGAATTCTGAGTTGCTGGGGCCAAGCCTGACCCTGTCTCCATGCGACCCCGCCCTCCCCGTAGCCTCAGTGGGTTTTTTTTTAGTGTTGCTGTTGCACAGGCTGGAGTGCCGCCGGGCAATCTTTGCTCACTGCACCTCCACCTCCCAAGCTCAACGGATTCCCCGGCCTCAGCCTCCCAAGCAGCTGGGACTGCAGGTGCTCCACCACGCTGGCTAATTTTTGTATTTTTGGTAGAGACAGGGTTTCACCATGGTGGCCAGGCTGGTCTCAAACTCCTGGCCTCAGGCGATCCCCGCCCCCCCCCCACCTCGGCCTCCCCAAGTGCTAGGATTACAGGCGTGAGCCACCGCGCCCGGCCCTTCAGTAGGTTTTCAGGAGCCCCAGCCCTCCTCCTCCCCTTCTGGGCCTGACCAGCTATACTGCTCCATCTCGGGGAACACGCCCCACCAAGTACTGCAAGGAACCCTCACCCGGGGGCCCTGCTCCATGAGATAATGTGAAACCCAACTGTGGACCAAACGCAATAAAACCTCTGTTTGTAGGAAGAAAAAAAAAAAAAAAAATGAACTTGCCTGAATCTTATTCATGGGGCAAAATGGGCACCATTGGCCTTTTGCTTTCTTCTTCTGCCCTATCAAATTTGCTCCTTCTTTTTTGTTCTTATAAATGCATAGATGATTGTAACAAAGCTAATTTTTAGTATTGCAGTAGTATGCACATTTCGAAAGAGGATAAATGTGAAACTCTAAACTTAAAATTTCAAAACTCGACCATGGATAAAAAAAATCCCAGGAGAATCATTCTTTGGTACCTCTGGAATTATTCAATGACAATTCTGCTGATAGAGAGTTCGATGTGTTAACATTTGGGCTCTGTAATGTGACTATTGCCCAAAAAGAGAAGAGCATCTAGAGGCAGCATGCACAGGTCCAGAGGAAACGTGAGCTGAAAGAACACACTTGCATGAAATACAGAGAAAAAAGCAGTCTGACAATATGTTCATTATCAGGCCATTTGCTAAAAATTATTCTTAAATAAAAAAAGAAGGAAAGAAGGAAGGAAAGAAGAAAAGGAGATGGAAAACAACAAATCTGACAACCATAAAAAAGTTGTTGAAATCATGGGCTATTTTGTTAAGATCATGCCATTTTTAAAAATGATGGTTATGAAAACCAGAGAGTAACCTGGGAAAGTAATTAAAAGTTTAAAAGGTAGTATTCAAAATTTTATACAATATATGCGGAAAAGCTCTCTCTACAATATATGCGAATATTTCTTTCATTTTATATACTGCTATTTGCCCAGCACCTTCAACAGTATCTGACATATAGTAGGTTCTTCTTAAATATGTGTTGTGTGAATTTGTTGATGAATTCCTTAAATATTGGAGGAAACTATACAAATTAATGTGATAGTGATTCTACATTGGGATGTGGAATTGTGTGTACGTTTATTTAATTTCCTGATTTTCTGAACCCTTTACTCTCTTTTCCCACCTTTCTCTTCATTATATTGCTGCTGATATGCAGTAATATATATTTTCCAGCCTCCTTCTACTCAATTGCATGTCACTATATATTTACAACCTGGAAAAAAGAGATCATTCTATGAAAAGGGAGACTAGAAATGAACAGATTGCAATTCCTGAAAAACAAAAATCTAGACATAGAGCAGTATATACTTTGTGTAGCTGTAGTCATGTCTATATCCAGGGACAGCTACATAGCACAGAAATGACTTCTCTCTATTTTAGTCATGAGCTGGTTTTTCCATTGTACATTTATTCCACAGCTAATAAAACAGAGCCATTCTTCTTGTTTTTTAATGTTCTGCCAATAGACACACTACTAAGAACAATCAGTATGAAATAAATTCTCATATTTTTAAGATAGAATTAGTCTTTCACCATGAAGTTTGGCCAAATCAGACAAATTAAACCTAGACACTAAAACTTCCATTAGATATGTCACAGCACAGGCATCCTTGTAGATTCCCTGAGTAGACTGTAGTTACAGAAATCAACAAATAGTAAAACAATATGCATTAGCCTCTGGTTTTAGTCTGTTTTTAGTAGTATGTGAGGTCGAGAGACAGAACTGTACTGTTAAAACTCATAATTGCAGCTTCATACATAGCTTGATGCATACAATCACAGAGACTTCTGTTTCATAGTTTTTTAGCCATCTATTAATCCAATTTACTTCTTCTAGAAATATATAATTAGGTTCCAACACTTGTTAGTTGTTTCTAAATTCTTTTGACATAAGTTTTCTCAGGTGCTAAATAAAGATAGTATTTGTAACTATATGATAGTAGTTAGAATTGAGTTCATATACACAGTGTTTGAAAAGTCATGACATATGATAAGACCTCAGTAAGTCTTAGCTCCTTATGCTGTGGACTAGGCACTAGGGAAGGAATTGAATATTGTGATGAAGAAGATAAGATCTGGTTTATGGTAGCTTGAAATCTAGTATGCATCATTATTGCAAGACAATTTAATGGATCTCTAGCATTTCTGTGTATTTTGACAATGGAAGTACTGACAGCCTTGTGTTCTATCTTTTCAGGTAAGTTTCAGGTTTGTATAGAAGACACCCTTGGAAGACAGAGAGTGTCTTCTTTGAGGACAGAGACCAGGCTTGTTTGCTGTCCATTATGAAAACAAGTAATGTCTTCCTCTGGGACAATGTTTGGGCAGGCTTGCCTGCAGCCCATTCTAAAAGCCCGAGATTTCCTAAATGTGGTATTTCTTCCTTGTAATCTAATGCAACCCTTTGCATGTGCAGGGGCCACTTCACCCTCATCACGTAGGTTTATAAGGATTGGGACTCAGGCAACTAATGTAGATGCTGATATTTTGGTTACTGCTATTGATGTAAGCGATAAACTGTCCTTTGTTTCTGATTCGGGAGTCTTTTGCCTTCTCTTAGCATCCACGAAACTAGGACAAACTAACTTGTTAACATACAAGTAGGGTAAAAGTCTCAGGTTCTTCACGATGCTTAAAAATCATTAGGCAGGGTCGGGCGTAGTGGCTCACGCCTGTAATCCCAGCATTTTGGGAGCCTGAGGCGTGTGGATCATGAGGTCAAGAGATCAAGACCATCCTGGTCAACATGGTGAAACCCCGTCTCTACTAAAAATACAAAAATTAGCTGGGCATGGTGGCGCGTGCCTGTAATCCCATCTACTCCAGAGGCTGAGGCAGGAGAATTGCTTGAACCTAGGAGGCAGAGGTTGTGGTGAGCCGAGATCATGCCATTGCACTCCAGCCTGGGTAATAAGAGCGAAACTCCGTCAAAAAAAAAAAAAAAAAAACATTACGCAAATTATCAGAAGTCTAAAACTGTCTACATAAATAAAAATGCATAAATACGCATATACCCTAATGTATATGGAAAAAATAAGATGGCTGAATTTTATAGAAACTTTAATGTGCAGTAGGATGTAGGAGTAGTAGTATCCTATTAAATTATTAAATTGACCCTAAAACGTCAAAAAATCAGAAGCAAACATAAAAATCACCTAATCAAAACAACCATTCAATTTTGAGAGACTCTGCCGATCCTGCCTACCAATTTTTCTTCATTGCATGCAAGGATACCTGGCACATTTGTACTCAATGAAAATACATATTTTAAGAAATCTAAAAATAAATTTAAGGAAACATTTATTGAACAGGTGTATTCTTTTTACTGCTCAATAATTTTCATAATAGAATAGGTAATTCTGCATGGGGAATCCAGTTCATTGCTAAATATCTGTCCCAGGAAATTTTTCCTTACTATATGATTCAAAGTAGGAGAATATGCTGTGATAAAATAAAAATCACAAATATTAGTGATGGCATTACATAATAAAAATTTTATTTCTCCCTCATATAACCATTTGATATGTGTCAAAATGCCTGCTTTCCTCATGGCTTTTCCCTTCAAATTGTGTCTCAGGAATTGGGCTTTTCTATAATGTTGCTGTATCCAGAAATAAAATGAAAATGGCAATGTTTTCTCTGCCATACTTAATTTGAAGTAAAGTTAGATTTCTTAAATTTAATTCACTGATTCTCATTCATTCTGCTCTTGGAACAAGCAACAACAATAGCAAAATCTTACTTACTTTTCCCCATAATATGATAGATGTTTAAATATTTATTTCCTCTTAGTCTATTTTTTTCCTTCTAGGCTAAATAATCATACTTCATATAATCAGACCTCACAGGAAATCATCCCCAGATGCCTTTCCATTTTGATTCTTTGCCTAAGCCCATCCCTTAAGTTGACAATGACACTTAGAGAGTACTAAGAACTGAATTCAGCATCTCATATATTCTCAGACGAACAGATTAGATGAGCTTACGTTTCCATGGCTTAAACCCTAGAAAGTCCAGTGCCTCTAGACTTTCATATTATCTCATAAGAATTGTAGGACACCAGAAAGGACATTTTTAAAAATATGAACCGATGCTTGCCATACCTCATTCCATTTCACCCTGTTACCTCTCCTCCATTTAGGTCATCAGAGAGACCCCAGGCAGGCGTTGCCTTAAGGGGAAGTGGCAGCTATGGAAACTGGAAAACAAAACCATGCAACTCCTGACTTTTAAGTTGTAAATTAAAAGCCACATAAGAATACTCGAAGATCTTGTTTTTCTTGCCTTTGAAGAGATAAGAACTCTCTAAGCTAGAAGAAATAGGGAAGAGTTGTAAGGAAACGGAAAAGTATAGATATTGGTGAAGACATAGCAGAGGGGGTACCTCTGGCCTGTCCACTCTTCTCCTGTCCCCACCCTTGGAGATGGATCCTAAAATGGAAGAGGAGAAATAGAAATCTGTCATAAGAGCAATTTTAAAGGATGGAATGCCTATGCTTCTGCTCTCTGCCTAGCATGCCAAGAGGCAGCAACCTCCCAAGAATGTCACCATGGCAACAGGAAAGAGTAGAGATGGCAATGTGGTTGTCAGGACTCACAACCTGTGGCAACCACAGCATCTCCTCCATATCACGGCCCCACGCATGCAATTCCCTTCACCCACATCAAATATCCTAATCACATTACAGGCAGGAGGAGAAGGGAAACA